CAGCAACTGTAAAGGTAAAAAGGGATTTGTTCACAAATGCGTCTGATGCTGTCATGACAACCAGAATTTGGTGCTTCGTGATTGGCTGGACAGAAACGTGAAAATTTGGTCTGAATGAAGAATCTGAAGATTTTACGATGAGAAAAGTAGAAAAAAAAAACATTCAGCAGGAAAACTTCTAGACTCACAGACGAAACTTATAACCCCGCCTCCCCCATTTTTATCAGGTCAACCTGGAAGTCCAGGAATCAGGGGCTTGACGGGAGACAAAGGCTACCGAGGATTCACCGGTCTTCAGGGGATCAAAGGTAAGCAACACGTCCTGGATGATCAGGATACCAGAACCAGGAAACACGACCAAAACTGGAATCAAATGATAAATGACCCACACCTGGACAGCACCTTTCTGAGTCAGAGGAAACTGAGCGGGGCTCGAACCTGCAACCCTCCAGTTACAGGGTGGGACTTTAACTCCTCAACCATCATCAACTCATGAAACTAAAACTCATCTCTTTGATTGACCAAAGCAAACAGAACCGTAGAAACCGAGCGGTTTCCACTCCTCACGGGCAAGTCTTAAGCAGTTTTCCAAGGTCAGACCCAGGAGGTGAAGGTTCCTCCGATCAGTTCTTGCTGATCTGAATAAGATTCCCTCCTTGGATCTGTTTTCCTGCCCACACTCAACCCTAATTTGACCTATGATCTGAGGAGTGGGTCCATATTATGACACAGCCACCACCGTGCTTCATGGACACCTGCACAGGTGTGTAGATGAACAAGCCTCTGGAGGTCTGGCAGAAGTAGACTTTTTTCCTTCTAGTCTTCTGTGTTTAACCTGGAAAGCCTGGATCAGATTAGGAGGGTCCTGGTCCTGTTAACTATGGGATGCACTAAAGATGTTGGTCCAGTAAGGTCGGTTCCTTTTGTGGTTCTCAGTTTTTATCTGTCCACAAAATCATGTTGATGGAATGAAGGAGTTTAGGTTCTTCTAAAAGTAACTTGATAGGACTTCTGCTCATCCGAGTCCAGGTGGAGCAGCTCCAGCAGTGAAGCTCAGAATGTCTTCTCACCAGACACCTCCACCATCCTGGAGAGAAACTATTCTAGTATGTTTCTGGAGGTCCGATCTCCAAGGCTGAGCCCAGAAGGCCAGTCGACATTGTGTCGACATTTATGAGGGAAGCTTCAGGAAGTCCAGAGGTTGATTTCAACCCAAAAGATTCAGAATTTTGGTCTTCTGAAGTTTTTTTGTCACAGAAGCCACATCCAGACACGTCTTCTGATAACTTCTGAGGGATCTGAAGGTCTTTTCAGCCCACTCATCAAATTCTGATCCTATCAAACTTCTCGTTTCACATCACACAAGTCATGTCTAGTGTCATGAGATGGTTCAATCTCTCTCTCTCTCCTCTCTCTCCTCTCTCTCTCTCTCTCTCTCCTCTCTCTCTCTCTCCCTCTCTCTCTCTCTCTCTCTCTCTCTCTCCTCTCTCTCTCTCTCTCTCTCTCTCTCTCTCTCTCTCTCTCTCTCTCTCTCTCTCTCTCTCTCTCTCTCTCTCTCTCTCTCTCTCTCTCTCTCTCTCTCTCTCTCTCTCTCTCTCTCTCTCTCTCTCTCTCTCTCTCTCTCTCTCTCTCTCTCTCTCTCTCTCTCTCTCTCTCTCTCTCTCTCCCCACCCCCACCCCCTCTCTCCCCACCCCCACCCCCCTCTCTCCAGGTCAGAAGGGAGACTATGGAGAGAAAGGACAGCCTGGTCTTGCTGGATTCACTGGAACAAAGGGTGATCAGGGATTAAAAGGTCTGCTGAGATTATTCCATAAAATGATTGCTCCAGCATGAATCTCCTCTGAACATTTACAGAATGCTAAATCCAAAACTTCCTAAGCGGACACGGCCGTGCTGACAGGGATGGGAACGGTGCAGAATGGTTGTTTTTGTTTCCATCAAAGACTGAGATGTAACCGGGAACGAATTCTTCCTCATGTGCACGGGACAATATTTCAGCAGCTCAGAGACTAAATTTACCTTCATATAAAAATAATGTCATGTTTTTCTTCTAGGGGAGAAAGGAGATCTAGGCTTAGCAGGACCTCCAGGTGCACAAGGACCCCAAGGTGAAATGGGTGTATGTCCTGCCATCTGTCAGAGCATTCCAGGAGCACCAGGGACACAAGGACCACCTGGACCAGTTGGAGCCCGGGGACTTCCTGGGGTGACTGGATCTGTAGGACCCAAGGGTGGGCAGGGCGATAAGGGTGACACAGGCCTACCTGGGAGCCCAGGTTTAAATGGTACCAAAGGTGATCAAGGTGCACAGGGGATCTGTCGTTGCACAAATGGAACCGATGGACTGCCAGGAGCAAAGGGGAGTAAAGGCGACAAAGGTGATCAAGGTGTCCAGGGTACTCAGGGTCTTACAGGGTCAAAGGGTGACCAGGGTAACATGGGCATGATGGGCCCACCTGGTCCCTGTTCCCCAGCGATCCAGTCGGCATTTTCTGCAGCCATTAATCAGTCCTTCCCCCTTCCAAACTGGCCCGTAGCTTTCAGCCAAGTCATCAGCAACCAGCAGGGGCACTTTAACCCGTCCCTGGGTATGTACACCGCCCCCGTCAACGGCACCTACAGCTTCTCCTTCAGCCTAGCCGTAGCAAACAAACCTCTTAAAGCCGGCCTCTTCCTAAACTTCATGCCTATAGTCAAAGTAACAGAAACATCCAACCTCGCCACTGTCAGCCAGTCCATCGTCCTTCACCTGGCCATGGGCGACAGGGTCTGGATGCAGGTGAAGGACGTCACAACCAATGGCATGTACATGGATACTGAAAGCACCAGCTCGTTCACCGGGTACCTGCTGCACCCCGACTCCTGCGAGCTACCCATGAGCCGTGAGTTTGGACCGCCGCCGACCTTACCTTCCAGACCATTTGACTGGGTTTAATGACGTTCGTTAAGCAGCGGAGGTTGCAGAAAGGTTAGACCTGCACCAGCAGACACCCAATCAGACCCTCAGTGTGTTTCCTTCTGTACGGTTTAAACCACGGGCATTTTCACTTCACTTGGAAAGCTCCGCCCCCGCCCCCATCTCCCCTGGGACGGACTTCAGACATTTACGCTGCACGTGTCGGGATCTTTACATTTGTTTGTCAGGAAAATTATTTTCTGCAACAAACCCCCAAACCTGCAGGCTAAAGGACGGAGAGCGAAGGGAAATGAAAATGAGCCGTTTTTAAACGTACAGCTAGATCCACACTTAGATTTTTCATTTTGCTTTTATCACACCAACCTCGCCGTAAAGGCTCTGCTTTAAGGTTTTAAGGCTTTTGCGGCTTTGTGTTTGTTCCTGGACACCAGCATGCTTTGGTTTTTCATCTGAGCTTTAATTAGTTGGCTTTTTGCAGTAAAAGTGATTTAATAATAAAGAAAAAAATGTGATGTTGCTACTAAAGGAGATTGATCCATCTGGAGTGATCAGAAGTGCTTTTGTTGGTTTTTACCCAAAGTTCACTTTGTACATTTGTACTTAGAGTTGTTGTAACTTTAAATATTCTGACCCAAACAGAATCCACCCAGACGACCGAGGTTTGGGCTATGAAAAGGTTTCTGTGAAGTTTGATCGTTTTGAACAAATGATGTTTGAAAGAACGCTGGAGTGAAAAGTTTGTTACAAATCTCAAATCGTTCAGTTAATCCTTTAATTCTTATTTTATTTGTCAGTTTTGAGAAGTTTCATGACCCGAAACGACCTCTTTAATAAATTATTACTGATGGGATGTTTGCAGCAAAGCATTAATTACATTAGTGTAGCTTTGCAGGATGTCTAACGCTTCTAACGGTTTCTTATGTGATTTCAATTCCCTCCAAAATCCTCAAATCTGCTTTTTGGCCTGAAAGTGATTAATAAACTAATTAAAACACAAAATTATTATTAGAATTCTTTTGTGCTTGCTATTTATTGAACAATGAAAATAACATTGATGTTTAAAATTCATTTATCCATCCACTCAACAATCATCCTTCCATTTAATCACTGATCATTCATCCATCCATCAATCATGTATCCATCCATCCATCCATCCATCCAACCATCAATCCATCCATCCATCCAACCATCAATCATCCATGCATCCATTTAACCATTGATCACTCATCCATCCATCCATCCATCCATCCATCCATCCATCCATCCATCCAACCAACCAACAATCATCCATCCATTCACATCTCTTCTAACCTCCAAGGCAGAGCCATGACCCACATCTCAGGACCAAAATGTGAGTTTGATGAACCAGTAAATCCAGAACCTTGTTCTCCATGAAAAACCAGAAGGAGTTGCTATGGACAGCTGGTTTTTGAAGGTTTCAAACAGCTTTTTATTGTTCAAACACAGAAGAGCACATCTCCTTTAGACATTTAAATGTTTCTACGTGTTTGTTTCAACCGCCACTAAAACAGAAACACGGTTATCATGTATAAAATGAACACGAGACCACCGGTGCTGCCTAACGGGCTCCAGGTTACAGCTGGAGCTGAAGACTAAAACACAAACATTCATCTGTAATAACTTAGTGGTCAAGCAGGTCTAGGGGTCTGAAATAGCTCTGATCTACTTCTCTTTGGGCGCCATGTCATCCCCCCCTGACACGTTTCCTTCCTCCTCATCATCATCACCTCCGATCATTCCCTTCAAGTAGGAGCGCTTAAACTCCTGGAACACCAACTCCTCCTCCAGCTCCCTGGAAACAGAGTCCACATCAGATCTAGAGTTTTCCTGATTGGTCCCAACACAGTTAGGATCTGATTTAAAGTGTTTCGGTCACATGACCTGGAAGTCACAGAAGGAAAATTCAAAACAAGTCTCGTTTCAACAGAGAATCAGAACAGTGAACAAAGTCGATTTAAATACCGACTAGAAAGTCTGGAGAGGTGCTGATCCAGAACCAAAACAGCTTCAGAAGGTTACAGCAAACATTTGTTTCATAATGGAAAGTGAATTTATGAGACAACGCAAGTCTTTGTTTCATTTATTGTAATAAATGAAAAATAAATCTGTTTCGTTTTAAGATTCAATCCCCCGTTTATATAAACCACAGTTTTAGGAACTAGGATTAAGATCAGAGATTGTGATCGTATTTACCCGTCCTTCACTGTCGGCAGCAGAGACAGGAACATAAAGATTAATAAATCAAGCATTTTTGTGTTTGGAAACATGAAATAATAAAGTTGTAATAAAGGCTTTACCTGTATCAGGTTTGGGATGCATCAGTCTGAAGGGAACCTCCAGGCCGACCTCGCTGCAACATAAAGTCTTAGTGTTAGACTGTTAGTCGGCTGGCGGACACGCCAGTCGGCTGGCGGAGACACCAGTCGGTTGGTGGAGACGCCAGTCGGCTGGCAGAGACGCCAATTGGTTGGCGGAGACGCCAGTCGGCTGACGGAGACACCAGTCGGTTGGTGGAGACGCCAGTCGGCTGGCGGAGACGCCAATTGGTTGGCGGAGACGCCAGTCGGCTGACGGAGACGCCAGTCGGCTGGCGGAGACGCCAATTGGTTGGCAGAGACGCCAGTCGGCTGACGGAGACACCAGTCGGTTGGTGGAGACGCCAGTCGGTTGGCGGAGATGCCAATTGGTTGGCGGAGACGCCAGTCGGCTGACGGAGACACCAGTCGGTTGGTGGAGACGCCAGTCGGTTGGCGGAGATGCCAATTGGTTGGCGGAGACGCCAGTCGGCTGACGGAGACGCCAGTCGGCTGGCGGAGACGCCAATTGGTTGGCAGAGACGCCAGTCGGCTGACGGAGACACCAGTCGGTTGGTGGAGACGCCAGTCGGTTGGCGGAGACGCCAATTGGTTGGCGGAGACGCCAGTCGGCTGACGGAGACACCAGTCGGTTGGTGGAGACGCCAGTCGGTTGGCGGAGATGCCAATTGGTTGGCGGAGACGCCAGTCGGCTGACGGAGACGCCAGTCGGTTGGTGTCTCCGCCAGTCGGCTGGTGGACACACCAGTCGGTTGGCGGAGACACCATTCGGCTGGCAGAGACACCAGTCGGCTGGCGGAGACACAGATGTTTAGAGCTTAGTTTAGAGTTAGGGTCTGTCTGGTAAGTGGTAGAAACAATAATTGTTCTAAAATTAAACATAAAAAAAATCAAAAAATGACCAAAACTAAAAACTTCCCCAGAAATAATTGTTTACTTCATATAACAATAAAAACAACGAGTCAGCATCAATGATACAGACCCTCTACTCAGCATTAAGAATAGGTCTGGGGAAATAAAGTAAAATAATTAAAATAAAATAAAGGTTAATTGTTACCTTTTGTTCACTAAATAAATGATCAAATATTCCATTTATTATGAGACATAAATAAAAACGTTTTTACTGCTCTGAAAACTTTAAAGTGAATAAACGAGGAGGAGGAACTCACCTCGATCCCATCATCCTGTGAGCAGATCAGGGCCAAAGCAGAGTTTAGATTCTCAGAGGGAACAAACGAATTAAGTATTGAAGTCAGAATCTAAACCTGTAACAAAATGAGAGGATTTAGGACCAAAATGGTGTTAGAGGAAGCAGCTGGGAGTGGTTTCAGCACCAGTCCGAGGCGTCGCGCCCTGCTGACCTTCATAAGTACCCGGTTACAACATTCACAACTCCAGCTCTACTCTGTTTAAGGCCCTTTAGAGTTTTCATGTGAAAAATCTGTTTCTGCTGCATCAGCTCGCCCTCGTCTCCCTACAGCCATACGCCATTTTTATTAATGTTGTTATTCAGGGTGAAAAGCTGAGTTTAACGCCTGACTTTTACATTTTCATTTCTAAAACCAGGAACTCTGCCTTGGCATTAAAATTATTTTAATACATTTTAAAGAATGAATTGTTCGGAAAAACATTGTAAATGTTGATGAAGTCGGACTAATCCCAAGTCAGCAGTTATCGTAGGAAGACGTCTTAAATCACAAAAGAATTCAAACCCATTTCCTCATCTGGACTTAAAATAGTTAGTGACCTTTGACCCTGACTAGATGGAAAAGTAGGTTGATGGCTTTAGCTGTGTGTTAACACACGCCTGTATGCTCCAGACCAGACAGGCCTCCAACCTGCAGGTCCTACTTAGCGATAGAAAAGTTGTTATTGTGAAAAACAGATGAAGCTAAAATGGTCAACATGTGGTTTAGAGCCCCGACATGCAGCTGAAACCTCAGACTGACCCTCCGATGACGAGCTTCACCATGACTTTGTATGAAACCATGATTCCCAGAACCTCCTTCAGGACTCCTTCCTTAACTCTGAAAGAAAAAACACAAACATGTAGGAGATTTTTCATGTTTCTGCTTCCTGCTGAGGAGGAACGTTCTGCTCACATGCTCGATGACGCCAGGTTGGTGTCTTCATGCTTCAGTTTGCCGTCCAGAGCGATGCCTCTCCTCTCACGGTTGTTGGCCAGCAGTGGCAGCAGCTTGTAGACCTTCTGCAGCGTTGCTCCGGCTGACACCGAATCCCTGATGAAACAATTACAGGAGGAATAAAACACACAGAGGATGATGCACCTGGAAGCTTTAAAGACCTTTTTTAGTTTCTACACTAGAATTTCTCTTAGACCAAAAAGGTTTAAAGCTTTATTTTGTGTAGCTGCTTCCAGCTAAGATGCATCATTAAGGTGTTTAACAAAAACAATAAAAAGACTCAAATGTTTAAAAACAGGATATATTATATAGAAATATTTTTATTTCCCAAATTTAAACATCTACAATCCCCAAAGTGCGTTTCTCACAGATACATCAGGCAAAGTAACACTTCTCTTCTTTAAATCAACCGTCTACTTAAAGCCTGAAATTATTAAAACATTAAAAGTGTTTTTACACGTTTTATTAACAGAAAATAAACAAAATAAGGTCAGAAAACAACTAAAAACATGACGCAGTTCTGATTTCGGCCACAAGGTGACAGCCTTTACAGTTGATCGGTGAGTCACAGATCTGATGAAACCGGAAACATCAAAACCCTTCGCGGTCAGAATTGAGTGAAAGCAGGTTCAAAAATGGTGGAAACAAACTATAATACTAATACTTAATCTGTGAGATATTCTATTAACCCACAGATTAGATAATCCAATAAAACAACCAGACAGTTTCTGCTTTTAGAAATTAAAACATCGTTTAACAGATTTTTATATGTCTAAACTATTCTGACTCACTTTCATTGTTTACATGATAATTACCTGAAAGCTAACCAGGAACCAACATGTCTAAAGCCGGGTGTACACTGTGCGACTTTTTAACTTTTTTGAGCCGATTTTCCACTCGTGCGAGAATCCACAAGATCGGGGCGAGTTTTGCGCTGAGTGTCGTGTAGTGTACTGGGGGTTACGAGAGGCGATTAACACCCCGTGACCAGCTACCGATCAGCTGTTGTGAACTCGCACGGACTTCTGCCGTGTTTAATATTTTGCTCATCTCGCGTGAGGGTATCGCACTGTTGAAGTGGCGCTGCGACCCAAAAAGTATCAGAACCGCTCACGGCGCATGCGCAATCCTGCATCAGCGCCGCTCGCCCGCTATTTCCCTAATAACACACGCTGTTCGCTTTTGTTTCTACAAGTTTTTTTTTTACTCACAAAGATTGTCAAGAAAGCGTGTTTGTCGTGTTCATGTCAAATTAAACTGATCACTAAATACAGATTTACTTTCTTTATTTCGTTTTCCTCATCCAACCCCCATTAATCCCTGTGTGTCCTCCTGCAGCACTCCCGAAGGACAACAGGCAAAACAAGACAAAAAAGTCTGACGTGTTGTGTAAAACTGCTATTTTTAGCATATTTTTAGGGCCGACGTGTTACTACCAGACGTACAGTGTGAGCACATGACTCGTGAGATCTGCTCTGCGAGGAAGTCGTACAGTTTGAGCTGAAGCTGAGTGCTACGAGTGAAAAAATCGCACAGTGTCCGCCCAGCTTAAGCTGTTTAATGCCCCCCCCCCCCACTCCTGCTGCTCCTCCTCCTCCTCTATCTTCTCCCCTCAGCATTAACATTTCTTTAACTCTTATACCATCAGTAGAAATCATCAGCTTCTAGAACCTTTGATAGTTCTGCTCCCCCACCCTTGGACAGCTTAGAGCAGAACATTAAAACCACACCAAACGCCCCAGGCCTCTGATGAGAAGAAACCTGGACGTGTGGAGGACCAGAAGCCTCTTGGGGACAGCTGCGTCCTGGTGAGGACGCCTCAGCGTCACCCGAGCATGCACACACTGATGTTAACGGGTAAAATCCTCAGAGGGCGCTCCTCTCCAGCCCAGATGTACGGGAAGACTCTCCCCGTGAAGCTGTGGATGAAGGTGTAGATGGGCTCGCTGGTGTCGGCATTAAAGAATGACAGCTTCTTCTTGTTCAGGTCCAGGTTCACCGTGATCCTCTGGAGGGTCTTCACCGGCAGAAGAGCGCTGGTTCGGGGCGGGGACATGGCTTTGTGTTTCCCGTCACACAGCTGGATTCTCCACAGTCCTGGCCACAAGTCCCCTTTCCTCTGAACGGACTCCTGGAGGACCCCCAGCTCCCAGCGGGTGTGGTTGCCCACCTCCACGTCCCAGTAGTGGTTCCCCGAGCAGAAGCCCTCTGATCCCAGCACGGAGCAGAAACCGTTGATTCTCTCTGGGTTCTCAGGGAGCTGCCGTCTCCTCCCACATCTCACAGAGGTCAGATCATCAGACAGGACCAGTTCTGGGTTGGCAGTGTTCGGGTCCAGGATCACAGGCGAGAAGGAGACCACGTCCTTCATCTTGTTCCAGATGTTGAAGCTAAGGTTTCCCAGATGTTTAGCCTGAGAAATCAGGGTTCCTGACAGCAGCTGTGGGTCATCCAGCTGGGGACACTGCTGAACCCTGTCCATCGGGGACAGCAGGACCGAAACATCTGAAGCTTTCAGCTTCTTCTCTGTGTCTTTGATTCTATCCAGAAGAGCCACCATCTCTCTCTTCAAGAGATCAATCTTCTCCCTCATCATCTGGCTCTTCTGCTCCTTCTCCTTCATCACAGCAGCCATCCTGATCTTCTCCTCCTCCTCCAGAAACCGGTGGAGCTTCTGGAACTGCTCCTTGATCTGAACCTGCGTCTGCTGGGCCTGGACCTTTATATATTCAGCTGTCTGGAAGAACTTAACCTTAACTTGATCAAAAACCTTCATCCTCTCCTGCAGAACCTTCAGACGCTCCTGGAGCTCTTCCTTCTGTTGATGCACTGCTTCATCCAGGGGTTTGAATTTGTGGTTGAGATGTTTGTCTGAGTCCCTGCAGACGACGCATGCCAGCTCCCGGTGGTTCACACAGAAGAGCTTCAGCGTCTCCCCGTGCAGCTTGCAGATGTTGGCCTGGTCTCCTGGTTTTAGGAACGTCTCACACAGGTTCCCCAGGGCCAGGTTGCGGAGAACATCCTTCTCTTCACACGTGTTCTTACAGATGGGACACTGCTGGATCCTTTTCTCCACCCACCAGCTCCTCAGGCAGGCTTTACAGAAGCTGTGGCTGCATGGGAGAATGACGGGATCTTTGAAGACCTCGAGGCAGATGGGACAGTGGAGGTCCTCCTGAGACCTGTAAGCCATTCAGTCTGAAAGAAGATGAAAAATCACAGCAGAAACGGGAACTCTGGGGAAAAATGGTGGAAAGGCTCAAAGCTGCAGATGTCTTTGTTCGTCTGGAGGTGCTGCATCACTGACGGGAACCGAGGAGGAAACTTGAAGCTGGTTTAGTCTCAGCAGGGCGGAGATCCGTCTGCTTAGCAGGTCCAGCTTCATTCCTGACTGGTAATATGACCTTTGTCCTGGTTCTGTAAAGATTACGCTGATGAAACCGGGTCTTTGGAGCCGATCAGACTCGATTTGACTCGTTTAGAAGAACTCCGATAATCTGAACATCTGTGGGAGGAAATGTTTCAGAGACACTTTGGTGTGTTAACAAATGATCCATGTGAGAAAACTAAAAATCTTCCTGCAGCAGGAATGTTGTTCATCCACACGCCAACATACCGAGTCACAGAATCATCGAGTCATCCTGGCACTGTTCCAACAGAATCCTTTTACTGCTCTGGTGACGCTTGGGTGTAAAATACAAATTTACTTATTCTTCAGAAGGATTCTGTTTTGTTGTTTTGTTTCTAAAAATAACTTCACAGGAAGTTCAGTTTCAAAATAAAACTCCTTCCTGTCAGAGGAAGTAGACTAAAACACACCTGTAATCATCTGTTAGACTGGTTTGTTTGAATAAAACCAGTAACTCGCTGGGCAGAAACAGCTTCGCTGGTCCTAAAAGTGTCAGTTTAGTCTCCGTTTGTCTCCATCTCCTCCCAAAGGTGTCTCTGACTCATGGAAGCTAAAACGACGAGCTGTACATGCTCAACAGAACTCAGTTTTTGTTTTAAAACATCTGAGAACAAACGGAGAAAACCAGCTATGTAATGAGATTAAAATCTGAGTTTATTCAAGCCCATCAGGAGACGTTTAGCCACCAGGCAGAGACCTTTACCTGCTGCTGGTGGACAACGTCAGACGCTTTACGTCCCCAAACATCTCACGCTGTACCAACTCTGCTTTGTTTATGGTTTTCTGTTTCAGACAGATTAGATGTTTTCATCATCTGGGATCCAGCATCTGAGCTTCGAGTCTGATCTCAGATCAGGATTCACCAGCCCTCCTTGGAAACTGCAGGTTTGTCCCTGGGACTGAAGGAGTTCTGGGTTTCTGACCGGCTTTGATTACTGAAATGGTCCAGAAGATCAAGCAGCAGGAAGCTGTTTCCATGCCAGAACATTTGAATTTGTTTCTGTTGGTTCAGGATAAGAAGTCCTCCTGCTGCAGGGGGCCACAACTGTCCTCCTGCTGCAGGGGGCCACAACTGTCCTCCTGCTGCAGGGGGCCACAACTGTCCTCCTGCTGCAGGGGGCCACAACTGTCCTCCTGCTGCTGGGACACACACGCTCTAGAAGCAAGAAGGAACAACAGGATATGAGCAGGAACACTGAGGTCCTACTCCGACTCAGCAGCCATGTGATGCTGAAAACCAGGAAATGTCTGATTCCTGGAGTTTTACTTCCTGTAGAGTCGGAGCGATGGCAGAGACTCAAGCAGGAGCCGAGGCTTGCTGAAGCTTCAGGGAAAGTTTTATTCAACATCAACCTTTGTCTGCATTTCCTTCTGAAACCTAAAACCCGTTTCGTTCTGCATCTCAGGTGAGCCGGACCCTTTTCTGAAGATCCTATCAGTAGAGAAGCTTCAGCGGTACTGGGCCCGGGTTCGGTGACTCCACGGCTTTTCTTCAGCTCTTACATAATAAACGTTGTTCCAGATTTGGGCGAGCGGCATTTGGGTCAAAGGTGTCGAGTTTAATCCAACAGAAGTTTTTGGGTTTGATGTCAGAACCGTTGGGACTCATGGAGTCCTGGTCCAGCCCGGTTCAGGAAGCTGCTACATGGAGCGACAGTGAGACAGGAGTTAAGTGCTTGCCCCATAATCAGAAGGTTGCAGGTTCAAGCCCCGCTCAGTCTGTTGCAGAGGTGTCCTTGGGCAAGACACTTAACCCACCTTGCCTGCAGCCTCGTCTCTGTCAGTGCGTCCAAGGGCAGCTGTGGCTACAGTGTAGCTCATCACCACCAGGGTGTGGATGGATGAATGACTAATTGTGTTGTAAAGTGCCTTGGGGGGTTCCAGGACTCTAGAAGGTACTACATCAAATGTGGGCCATTTACCATTGTAATCCAAAGGGTTAGAATAAAGGAGCTTTGTTAATTCTGACCCTCCCATATTCCAGTCAGAAATGATAACGCTCCTCGGATGAGAACCAAAATATCTTCGGGAAACCAAAGAAGTCCAGCTGCCTGCATGTGAGCCTCATTAAGTATTTTCATTAGTCAAACAGTTTGGAAAATCTTTATAATTTTCTTCTGTTTCACCACAGATTCTGGGTCACAAACACTGTCAGAGTTAAAACATCCTCCACCTAACAGGTCAGGAATCCTCCAATCACCCTAGCTCATCACCACCTGGGTGTGAATGACTGATTGTGTTGTAAAGCGCCTTGGGGGGTTCCAGGACTCTAGAAGGTGCTACATCAAATACGGGCCATTTACACCACAGCATCCCATCGGGTTCTGGTTTTAAGCGAGTGGACCACACCTGCTGCTGGTTGGATCGAGGTTCTGGTTCGCGACCCAAACTACAGACAGATGGACCTGGTGGACCTGAGTCTAGTTGAGTCAGAACCAGCCCAAACCATCAGCAGTTGGTGCTGCAGTGCATTGTGGGTAATCATCGGTCCAAACGGAACACTCAAACATTTATTTTTATCTTTTTCTTTTTCCCCAAAACTTTTTTCTAGTTTTAATTTTACAGAAGAAAAATTTTAGGTCATAAATGTGAAGAAAAAAAATCTGTTAGGAAACAACAAGTCTGAGAAGAAAACTAAACATTTATAACTGTTCCTAATCTCTGTCTAATTCTGATCCTTAATCCCAAACATGTCGTTGAGCGTGGCAGAGTCGTAATAAACAGAAATACTGAGTCTGTGTTGCTGCTCGTTACCCAGAATCCTCGATGTCCACACATTTGGAGTAGTTGTCATTGGAATACAGAACCACGTTGGCCACCTGGTCAACTGAAACCAGAAAACCCAATTTAATCCAGGTAATTTACTCCAGGTTTTAGACCCGTCCTCTAAAAGGGACGGTCCCAAGCAGACGGGTTACCTGAGAGGACCACGTTCCTTATGGTTTTGTTGGAGTTGTTTGTTATGTTGACGAGAACTTTGATTGTCTCACCGTGGTAATAGAGCTACACAAAAACACAAACAGGAGCAAAAAGTTGTTCAACTTTATCAATAGTTATAAAATCTTCAGTAACAAGATGATCAAACAGATTTACAGGAAGGGAAACTAATTCTAAATCCTTCCAGTTTTGTTTAAATCCTGCAGCCTAAAATAAATAAATCTGATTAGAACAGCTGATTAATCTGAAACGTCGGACCTCTTTGTCCAGCGATGCCTTGATGTGTAGCGGTTTGTCCGACATGACAAAGTCCTTGGTGATTTCAACGGAAGGTGGCGTTCCCTGAGTCTCCGGAGCGTACTGGACCTTCCTGATCATCAGCCTCACCGTGCTCCTGGTGGACATACAGAGACGTTTAGGACAAACAGCTGACGTCTCACTCAACAGGACAGGTGAGACTCACCTTTTATGGACTTTTGCATCTTGACTCTCAGCGCTAAATGCTTTGATTTCAAACTCCACGGCACATTGCTGCAGAAGAAGATGATGTGTCACAGTAACATCAGATGGAACATCCGTCTGTCCATTCATCCATCCATCCACCCACCCCTCACCCATCCATCCATCCATCCATCCATCCACCCACCCCTCACCCACCCATCCATCCATCCATCCACCCACCCACCCCTCACCATCCATCCATCCATCCATCCATCCACCCACCCACCCCTCACCATCCATCCATCCATCCATCCATCCACAGTTCTAATGAGAATTGAAAAGAGAGATCATATCTCTCCTGTCTTAGCTCCCCTACATTGGCTACCTGTTAAATTCAGAATATATTTTAAGATCCTCCTTCTCACATGTAAAGCTCTTAATAATCAAGCTCCATCATACATCAGTGATCTGATTGTTCCATACATTCCTAACCGAGCACTTCGCTCTCAGACTGCAGGTTTACTGGTGGTTCCCAGAATATCTAAAATTAGGATGGGAGGCAGATCTTTTAGTTATCAGGCTCCTCTCCTGTGGAACCAGTTCCCAGCTTAAGACTGTGAGGCAGAAACCTTATCTACTTTTAAGACTAGGCTTAAAACATTTTTTATTTGATAGGGCCTATGGTTCAAATCTGATGTTAGCCTAGATCTGGGTAAGTGGGGGAGTACAGGGAGGTGGAGTGTACAGTCGGTAAAGACGGCTCTCCCTTGGCCTGCCTCCAACATGCCTACATCTAAAAGGCTAGGTTATCCAGAGTTATCTCTGTAGTTATGCTGCTATAGGCTTAGACTGCAAGGATATACTGACCACTTTCCACACTCAACTACTTTCTTCTACAATCTGCTCTTTAACTGTATTATTTCCTGCTATTTCAGTATCAAGTGTTTTTCTCCCCAGAAGAAGCTACAATGATGTTCTGCTGAGCTGTGGTAGCCTCATGGAGGGGGCCATCGGCTAGCACACTGCTGCTAACCACTTAAACATTCTCTCTCTCCTGATGATAACATTTTACTTTCTTTGACATTGAATGTGCTAATACTAGTTTATCTGTTTAATTATAAATTCACTAGGAAAAAATCAATAAAGTTTATCTCTCACCAAATAGAACATTTACAATATTTACTAAGAAATCACAATGTAACCATAGAAACAGTATTTGGTATATGTGCGTGTGTGTGTGTGTGTGCATGCGTGCGTGCATGTGTGTGTGTGTGTGTGTGTGTGTGTGTGTACTGTGTGAAGTGCCTTGAGATGACTCTTGAGTTTATAAATAAACTGAACTGAATTGAATCCACCCATCCACCCCCACAGAAACTTCAGCAGAGATTCTCAGACCTCCATCCCTCCTCCAGCTCATCCACATGTTCTACTAGGTGTTCCCAGACCTTCTATCAGATTTAATCTTTCCCGGGAGTTCTGAATCTTCCCTGAGACTTCCTTCTGTTGGGACATATCTGAAACTCTTCAGCTGGCTCTTGTCTATGAGGAGGAGATGCTCTCGAGTTCCTTATCTTCTCCCCAAGGGTCGGACCGTTCTCCAGGAGCTACAGTCATGTAAACTGAGCGTTCTACCTAAATAGTGCCAGCTACACAGCTTTTATCAAACAGCTCATGGTCTCTATTTTAGTTCTGATATCATTGTAGTCCTCATAGGCATGAATGAATAATTGTTGCTCCGTCTGGAAGAAGAACAAAGTTCTGTCCTTTCCTTCCATTCTCATTTACCTAGCATCAATTAACAGGGGCTGCCTATGGATGCGCGTGAGCAGTGATTGCCAATAGGGGATTGAATTCACCTGAGGATCATTCGTGGAACCGGTGAAACAGGGAGGGAAGGGGAGCGCTTTGTCAAGCAAGGATTTATTAGGAGATCCTTGATGTTCTAAACTCACTTTTTTGGAATACCCCCAGGTCTGGAGAGACACTCGGGAGAAGCTTGTTGTTTTAAAAAGTCCAAACAAAAGCTCCTAACTGGTCAGGTTTGGCTTAAGGCACCAGAATCCACCTCTGGAGTTCAGATCTTACCTTCCCAACATCTTGGGGTGCTGGTTGAAGTGCCACTGAGCAAGGCAGGTTGTCGGGAAACTGGGAAAAAGCATTCCATGTAAGTGTATTGTTCTGAGCTCTGATTAAGATATCAAAAAGTTTTCTGGTAAGCTGTTCTCGACTCACCTCAAAGAAGAATGGGTAGGCGTTGATCCCGAGCTTCCGCAGAAGTTTGACCTGAACTTTGGTGTGGACGCCCTTCTCACGGTCCTGCAGGGGTGGATACACCTGGCGGGTGGACAGGTACAGTTCTCTGCGGAAGGCAATCCCGAGCACGTCCATGTCATCTCTGCCGTAGCGGAAGGTGCAGGACAGCGTGACGAACACTAGAGGGCGGAGCAGACACATACTCCAGGTCCGTATCAGGTATGATGAAGGACGCACCAGGAAGTGTACCCAGCTTCCCATCGTTGCATTGGGCATCACTTGGGCTTGACTAGAGTTTTGAGGATGTTTGAGAAGCTTTGAGACAAATTCCCTCTTGGATCAATCATAGAATCTGGAACTACCTGTCCGACACTTATCCTGATCCAGGTCTCAGGGGCAGCGGCCCAAGCAGGATTCCCACCTATCTCCCAGCTTTGTCTGGCTAGTCTGGTGGGATCTTACAGCATTCCCAGAGCAGCCTAGAGGAACAGTCCCTCCAGCGTGTCCTGGTTCAGCCCCAGGGCTCTCTTCCCAGAGGGATGAAACATCTACCCTCAGGAAGCACCCTGACCACCTCAGCTGTCTCATCTCGATGAGGAGGAGCAGCAGCTCCACTCCTGAATGTCCGAACTCCTCATCTTAACTCTGAGTCTGAGCCTGGAGGCGTAACTCCTTCTGGCTGCTGGTATCCATGATCTCATTCCTCAGTGTTGGTGTCATTTCATTTCATTTATTGATTTATATAGTGCCTTCCACCAGTCAAGGAAGCCCAAAACATTGAACATGATAAAATACAAACAATAAAATAATAAAGTCAACATGATAAAAACATGCCAAATATAAAATTATCATAAATAAATTCAGTTAAGAGAAATGACAGCAGTTAAAAGTCTAAACAGACAGTAAAACATCCTCCTAGGGTGACGTCAGACATCTGTAATGCTGCATCAGTTCGGTTCTCAAAGACCCCGAGGATGTTCCCTCTAAGCTCACACCACGACATTAGCTCTTTGACCTCTGCACAACAAAAAGGTCATCAGCAGCAGAGCGGCAATGTTGAGGGGACATGTTTCTCCAAAAGGGATGAAAGGTAAGGGGAGCTGTCCCTGCCAGAGACTGATATGTGAGCACTTTAACTTCAAGGCGGTGCCTAACTGGAAGCCACCGCAGGGTGTGCAGTACTGGTGAGATACTCCCCCCATCTTTTAACTCCCGTGATGAATTTTGCATTCTGGACCATCTGGAGCCTTGAGAGTGTAGATGCGGCTAGACCGACATGACGGGAGTTACAGTGGTAACAGAACAAATTATGATGTCACCATTTCTAAATTCTTATTAGAGCATGGGCTTGATCCTGGACAAGCGCCAAAGCTGAAATAATTCAGGCCGCACCGCCGAGTTCATCTGTGTATTGAGCATCAGTGCTGAGTTCAGTTTCACACCAAGCAAAAGTGTTGGGGTAGAATAACGTCAACCGGATCAGAAGTCACATAAACTCAATTAAAACATTGTTGAAAAGTGTGTTCGAGCACCAACCTTTCCTTCCTGCCAGAGCCTCTGGGTCGACAAGGATGACGCCATCTAGTGGTGGAGAAAGATACAAACAGCTGATCGCTGACCAGACGGATCAAATCCAATCCAGGTGATACAATTCCTGTAACTCCTCCAACGGTTTAACTGGATGTAAAAGTGTTTCAGAGTCTCACCTACAGGATCAACGGCGTCAACACGGTCCACAAAGTCTCGTTTTCCCATGAACACTCCGACCTGAAGCAAACGAATCACAATCATTCCTTCAGTTCTTACCAGCAAAAGCTGCAGAGGGCAGAAGGAAGTGAACCAGCAACCACTAACAGATTAACGAGATAATTCATCTGACAATGATCTGATTCTCTTCTGCAGATTGACGTTACTGTTGAGTTAAGTTCATGCTCGGCTCTCTGTAGCAGGAACAACTTCAGAGAAATAATTTGATTTGTTGCATCATAAACTAATGATGAAATAGTTCCGTCGCCTGATTCACTCACTCACCGACTTGTCTTTGCAGGTCTTCTTGAAAATGACATTTTTTGGACTCATGCTGGAGATGAAAAGGGGGTGGAGCCTGAAGAGACAAAATAAACATGCGTCAAAACAAAACTTTACCCGACAGGTGGTTTATTCTGTAGATTCATGTCTTGTTTCACTTCAGAATCCATCTTTTAGTTTCATTAGTTTGATATTTTTCTGTGAAATCAAACTAAAAACCAATGTTAGATTTTTAGTAGATTTCTGTTTTTAGTCATTTTTCAAATCATTTGACCGAGTTTTTCTTTTATCTGTGAACAGAAAGCAAGATTTTCCCAAAACCAGGCTTTCTTGTGAGATTCCCGGTGTAACTGCCCCTCCCAGTCACCATGGTAACACATGTTAAAGACAATCCCCCATAAATCTGCAGAATATATGAAGCCAAAAAGGAAGTGGCAAAAATCCACACATTTACTTGAGTTTATTGCATCCTATAGATGAAATATTTAAATAATGAACTAATCAAAGAGGTTCTAGTTGATTTAATTCAATTAAACAAAGAATTTAAATTGGAATTTAATCTGCTGAGCTCATTAATCCCGTTAAAACTCTCTGGAGTGTTTCAGCTCTTCAATAAACAACACAAACCTTTTTGTCACATAGAAAATATTTTTTATGAAAACAAAACCTGCTGAGAAAAGAGCGTCGTCTTCTCGCTGTAATGTTTAACCTGGATTTCATTTAAAAGCTTGAAATGTTTATCATAATTTAAGATTAAATTCAAACTAGAGGAGGCGGGGGTGGTTGTACCACTTTGTGTTTGAGCAACTGTAACTCAGTGGTTCTTTGTGGTGGAAAGTTCAGGTTTTAACAGGTGGAACCCATATTTGTCTGCTACAGATTACATGCATTCAGACTTCCATCACAGATTATTAAACTGCTGTTAAATACAAAGAGGTCGGTTGTTACAACTCACCCCAGTACCGGGGTGAGTTGTAACCGATGTAACGGTTAAATGTTTATGCTTAAAAAGATCCACAGTGAGTCATTAGCTTCATGAGCCCAATATGTACAATGCTAACACCTAACCCACTCTTCCCTTGGCCGTGAGTTATCAAAGAGCTCCAAACATACAATGCAGACATTTTCTGAGTCTGCATCTTTTGTGTCATCAGGCTTTCGCATTCTCCTGTGGGGACACTGCTGACTGTTGTATGCATCCACTGCCTAGGCATGATGTAAAACTGAGACCAGTGAGGTAGTGGAAGGTAGCAACACCTTTTCAGACCTGTTAAAACCGAACCCCATGCTGAGTTGCCATTAAAAAGCTAATCATTTTTAGCAATTAGCTTCAAAGCTTGCACTTATGATAGATACCAAATCAAAGGAGAGAAACTACTGCTTGAGCTGTCCAACAATTGTATCTATAACACAATGGACACTATGCAAAAAATATCTTTCATTCATTTCATTTCATTTATTTATAAAGCCCTTCTGCGACCAATGCAGACACCCAAGGTGTTGAACACAACACAATAAAACATAAAACCATCAGAATAAAACACAACAATCGTAAAACCAGCATAAAATCAATTAAAAGAGGAGAGTAAAAGCAAAAAATAAAATCCAGAAAAAGATTAAGAGGCCGCGGCATCGAAACCGGGTAAAATTTGCTAATCCTGAAAAGCCTTGACAACAAAATGGGTCTTAAGGCAAGTCTTAAAAACCCCCAATGAGGGTGACTGACGCACCACCAAAGGCAAATGGTTCCAAAGTGCAGGTGCCAACACAGAGAACGCACGGTCCCCCCGTGACCTTTACTTAGTGCGTGGAACGATCAACAGCTCCCTGCCGGCTGAGCGAAGGGCCCGCGAGGGGGCATGTCTATGCAAAAGGTTGCCAAGATATGCTGGAGCAGTTCCGTGTAAGGCCTTGTATGCCAGTACCAAGATCTTGAATTTTGTCCTGTATTGCACAGGCAGCCAATGAAGGGATGCCAACACAGGGGTGACATGCTCCCTGCGCCTAGTGCCTGTCACGAACCTAGCGGCTGAGATGAAAATTTTTACTTTCTTACCTGAAAATTGGTTTTATTTTTCCGAAACTGCCTGTTTTCTACTCAGAGACATGTGGCTTTGCCAGTGTGGCCAATGAGCAAGTGGGCATCAACTGTTGATGACATCAGCGTAGCTCGCTCCTGACTGGGTAAACGGAGATTGTTGCAACCATCCTCGGTCTCCCTAAATAATATTTACTCAAACATCCTGGCAGGAAGACACTTAGCTAGTTTGAAAAGTGGACGGTCAGCAAACTAAAGCTCAGAAATTCCACCTCTGACCTCTGAGGTGGAATTGTTTCTGGATTTTAAAAATCCCCGTCTGGTTCTGGTTGGACCTGGAGCGGTGCTGTGGCGTTGATCTTACTCACCTGCTGCTGAAGTGATGAATGAGACGTGGAAATTGTCATCTCTCCAGGAGGATCTATAAGTAACCACCTGCTGCTCGTCACGGCTCCGTCAGCCAATCAGGTCTGACCTTTGCCCTCTTTCCTCCTCCATCCTCAGAGACTTCCTGTGAGTGAGCCACCTGAGAGGATTGAAGCCGGTTCCACCTCTGTCAGCACATCGGGTTCAGGATTAAATGCGGATATTAGCGAGAAGGTTAAGCTTCATCCTCAGAGACATTCAGATTTCTGTCAGAAACGAGAAGATCGGCAACAGAAACCAGGAGAGCAGAGAGAAAACAGCAGCTGGTTTCAGGTCATAAACATCCCCAACGTAACCTGACGAGTCGGAAGAAAATCAGAGAGAAACTCCTGAGAACAAACGATCAGAACAACATTCTTCTGATTCAGACTAAAATAAAACAAGATCCTGCATTAGAGAAAACCCCTGAAACCCTAAAAACCAGGAGGGTTCAGGTTTAATCTGCAACACGTGAAACTAAACTGAGATTAAAGGTTCTAGAGCAGCTTTTATAGAGAATTTAGATGAAAAACCTGTTGAGTTCAATAAAAACCTCAGTTTGTATTTTAACTAGTAAATGAATAAAACCAAAGGAGGGTTTAACCACTACCCACAATGCATTGCTGCAATATTCACTTTACTCCTCGTGGTGTAAATAAAGCAGCGTGTTAATCTGACAAAACAGCAAAAGAGGATTATTTTACCTCGATTAATTATTTATTATGTCTAATAGATCAAATCAGATTCATTTTATTATTCATTCAAAATGTTTTCTTCTCTGATTTTAAGCATCAGCTGATTATTTTATTCGTCTGAACCCAGAAATATGGTTTAAACCTACAAAACCTATTTACGTATTTCTCTGTGGTTGTTTTCACCCCTCTGGTGTGGGCGGAGCCTAACAGAGTTTAATCCACCGTCCTGCCCGTCAGCAGGTCGAGACCCAGGTGGATTACTGCCTGCAGCGCATTAATCATCAATATCACACACACACACACACACACACACACACACACACACACACACACACACACACACACACACACACACACACACACACACACACACACATATGTTTTATGTTTAAAGCATCAGAAAAAAAACAATAAAAAGGTATTTTTTTTATCTGTCCATTCCTCTACCTGTCTGGAGTCGTGGAGACCGCAGCCGGAGTGCAGAGGCCCAGACTTCCTTCTCTGTGGTTCAGATTTAGATTTTGTCTCTGAGACTTTCACAGAAAATAACTTTCTAGATCTAGGGGAGGGTTGTGGACCAGCAGCAGGCCTGGCCCACCCACTCAGAGACACTAAATGGTTTTATTTTTATTTGCATGCAGGATTCTTAAAGAATGAGGTCCAAGCTGTGTGTTCAAATGGAGGCCCAGGGGCCGTTTGGGACCCTCAGAGTGAATTTGTGAGAACCCCTCCAGCATTTCTATCATGATAAATTTCTCCTCAGCTTATTGACAATGTAGTGCGGCTTATGTTATTTCTGATCCTTACTAACGTGCATAATTAGGGCTTTTTTCATGCAGTTAATGGAATAAATATCCCCATAAAATAATTTTTGGATTTTTAAAATAAAAGAAGTCACATTTTTGTTACTGGCAAGGACTTTTAACTTTTCACTTGACAAGTTTGAGCCTTATTTAGAAAAGTTTGGATGCTCCTGGGCCAGTGATGTTTCTAAGAAGGAAACAAAGCTCTTATTTTGTAAAACAAACTTTATTCAGATAAAATAAACAGTTTAACAATCAATGAAAATTGACCATTTATTTTTCATTTGATGTCATCAATAAAAATGTCTGAAAACAATAAGAAAAAAATGCTAAAGTGTGTGTGTGTGTGTGTGTGTGTGTGTGTGTGTGTGTGTGTGTGTGTGTGTGTGTGTGTGTGTGTGTGTGTGTGTGTGTGTGTGTGTGTGTGTGTGTGTGTGTGTGTGTGTGTGTGTGTTTAGACGTAAGCTCTGGCTGTATCTGGGTCAGACTTGGCCGTAGCAGTGTAGACCTTCTGAGGAGGGTAGCTGCTGTAAAACAGAGAAGAATTAAGTTTATTTTAATTTGAACCCAAATAAGTAAAATAAAATAAAACAATTACATAAGTAAAAGTAAATAGTTTCTGTTGGAAATGTAGTTTCTAAATTAAAACCAGATCAGGTTCATTCAGGAGTTTCTTCCTGTCAGGTGTGTTTTATTTACCTTTTCTTGACAGCAGGTGACGTTCTCTTGCAGGCGAGGCAGAGGAGAGCTCCGCCCAGGATGAAGAGGGATCCTCCAGCCCAGCCCACGTAGAGACCAGCACCCAGCTCGAACCTGCAGAGCCAGAACACACCGTTAACCTGTGTGTGTGTGTGTGTGTGCGTGCGTGCGTGCGTGTGTGTGTGTGTGTGTGTGTGTGTGTGTGTGTGTGTGTGTGTGTGTGTGTGTGTGTGTGTGAACTCACTTCACTCCTCCAAAGAACGGGTTGTGGAAGTCCTGGACCACCTGGTAGCCGTACCAGGAACAGGCTATGATGCAGCACAGACCTGAAAATGAAACAAATCTTTTGAAACCCAATTTTTTTAGCAGATTTATAAAATGAAGTTTCAAACTTTAAAGAATTTAGTTCAGAATATCTGGATGTGATTTATGTCAGAAACGTGATGAAGAGGAAACGTTTGAAAGGGATTAAAACAGTTTTCTGCTTTTACCTGAGAAAGTATGATATCTTCTAATCAGAGTGCAGATGAACCTCTACACCTTTAAATTAATCTAAAAATAAAGAATTAAACTGCTGAGATCATTTTTACAACCATCCTGCTGATATAGTTCTAAAGATTTAATAAATGTGTTATAAACCCTCAGGAAAATGTGTTCATTTGTACATAAATATAAAAAGAAAAGGTTTATTTTAGATTTAGATAAAAGATGTAGCACTCCAGCCCCTAAAACCCTACAGTACATAAACACACACACACACACAACTCTGGTCTGGGGTCAGCATACCGCCAAGAAGGCTGAGGACTCCTCCGGCCACGGCCATCTTGGCCTTGGATTGCTCCGAGGCCGATCCGATTTTAATGCACTTGAGTCCGAGGAGAGAAACGATCATGCAGCCGAGTCCAAGCAGCAGAGAGATGATCATTAGAGCCCGACAGGCCTGGATGTGTGCTGCAGGAGGAGACAGCAGGAGCTCAGACACCCCAACAAACATAGGATATGCACGGAGCAGCTGTGGTTTTATAAACATCTGTTAACAACAGCTGAGATCCCGATCCAGTTTAATATCTAAAGGGTCTCGTGTTTTTACTTTTATCATAAATACAGCTTCAATTATATTAATGATATAATTTGAACATGTAAATCCACTCAACTTGATGGGTGTTTGTGAAGAAAACAGTAAACTATAAACATTTAGGTCCAATTTTAAATGATGCAGAAAAAGAAAGATACAATAAGAGATCAAACAATCAGAGAAAGAACTTCTAGTTTCACCTCCTTATTGATAATTCTACACAAATCTGTTTTTGAACTGCTGGTTTAAAGAACAAGTCACCACCAAATCAACTTCTCTTTGCTGATAATCTTCATAAATGAGTGTCTAATCGTGCTGCAGACACTTGTAGTCAATAGTTTTACAATTTAGTGCATTTTAGTTCAATTTTTAATTTTCTGCCTAAAACTGTCAGTGTTGTGCCGTCGTCGGGTAAAAACTGCTCTGCATTTAAATTTAAATCTGCCATTGCTATTGGCTAAGAGGTACCATAGAATGTTAGCTGGTACCGTATGATGTCACAATGCCGTTGTGAGTCTGTGTGAGTATTAGTTAGCGGCTCCGCCCTCTCGGTCTGCCAGGAAATAGCATTTGTTTTTTCAAACAGGAAGTGGGAGTGGAGTAAGCCTCTGGTAGGGGGTGACTTGCTCTTTTCGAACTTTTAAAAACTGAATGGCACATTTCATTTTCTCTAAATAAAAAATAAAAGCCAGGTCTCTGTGAAAAACACGAAGTTGTGTTTAATGAGCCGGACGCTCTTTACTTAAACCAGATTACAACATTTAAATATTCAATTAGAAACAAACATTTTCTGAGAAACAATCTTTATTTTTAAACCCAAACTCGACGGTGTTCAGTGGAAAAGAGGAACTGTGGTCGATATCGAAGCTTTTACAGCTGCTCTGGTCGTTTACTGACCCGTCATAAAAACCGCCACCACTCCTTTTTACAACCTTCCTGTAGTTTCAGGACAGACGAAGGAATAAAGTAAAACATCTGGTTGGATTCTAACGAACATGTTTCATAAAATGGTTGATCTCTGGTCAGCCACCCACACACACGCAAGAATCGTGGTTTTTCTAAAGTCATGAGCTTGAATTAAAATCAACTAAAACATTCACACGAGACTGATGCAACTGTTAGCATCTTCACAATAATAAAAGCAGTCAAAACTCATCCATGCACATATTTATATCCATAAAAACATAAACTACAGAAGATGCTGCGGAGGTTGCTTCTGTTTGGGGTTCGCTCCATTACTAACCCTAACCTCCAAAAGAAGTTCAAAAAGTCACCAGAAGATAATCTGACTTCAACAAAAGCAGAACAAACCAGATAACTTTCATATTTCTGCGATGTAACTACTAAGGGACTTTTGAAAATAATCTGATTTTTTGGCGGGAAACATCTGACGTTAGAATCCGGCAACCTTTGACCTGTGAAGTCAGACGTCAGGCTGCTGATTGATCTCTCTAATAATTTTCTGATAAGCTTTCCCCATTTATTGATTAAGTAAGTATTTCTGATTAACATTTTTTCATTTGTTAAATAAAAGCAGAAACTAAAGCCATTTCTTTGGCTGAATGGTGACGTGATGTTCCTCACAGATGCCTGGCTTCAAAACAACTTTCAGAAAGAGAGGGTGGGACTGACCTGAATGTGTGTTTAAACATGGATGGGACCAAACCGGGTCTTACCTGGGAGGGCGAGCAGCGACTCGAAGTCCCGACACTCGGCAATGCCTGCGCTGTTCTCCGCACACGCATGCCACAAGTTCTCAAACTGCCTCTGGGAGATGATGACACTGCCTGACACCGTGGAGATTTTCCAGTAGTCGTTACCGAGCGCCGATCCGGTCACCAGCCAGCCGATGATGCACATGAGGAACCCGGTTGCCTCCACAGCTGTCGACATGATCGCTAAGTCCAGGAAAAATCACCAAAATACAAAATCCACAAGACCCAAAAAAGCCGTCAGAGAAGGTCTCAATGTGTCTGAGGATGTATAGTCCAAGTCCTGGGTGGGTCAGCTGGAGGGTCTGGTCTCTCTCCTTCAGTAACACGGAGCTAATCTGAGGTCTGAGGCTGCAGCCGGTGGACTTTACACCCTACAAGTGCCATAAACCTCAGGGCCACTCCTCGAAGTTCCCCTTTATCTCCTAAACCAGGATCAGGATGATGTGATGATGATGATGAAGAGCCTGGAGACACGCCTCTGATATGATTCACAGCCTGTGTGGTGGCAGGAGGTCATACACACCTGCTTCATCAACAGATCCAGGTTCAAGTGAATCATCAGGGGTTTCAGCAGAACGTTAGCAGGTCACAGCAGTCCCATCCATGTTCCTAACATGGGTAAAAACTACCAAACAGAACCAGATCTTTGGTATCCCTTCAGATCAGGGTTTACCAGAACCAGACCTGTGTCTTCAGGTCCACTCAGGCATCATCTGGTTCTGTCTGACCAGAGCTGGACCAGAACTTTATTTATGTAGGACACCTTTCCCATTTCTGCAGGTCTCTGTTCTGATCTCCTTGATGCTAAACTTAGCTGGAATTCTGATCTGTGACCCCTTCCAACTAGAAACCAGTTGTTTTGTTTTTAATTCTGACTGAGTGAATCAAACGTTCTGCCAACAAGAAAATGCTGGAATTGTAATTCAGAAAATTATTCTCTGGAACGGCAATTAATAAATGTTTTTTTTTTGGTGATTTATCCTTTTGTTCATCCGTTTGGTCTGATGAGGCTGTTTAAAGAGCTTTATGAATAAAGTTGGATTCAGACTGACTGAGCTTCAGTTTCCTGTCAGGGACGGAAAGTTTTAGTCATTTATTTTGTTTATTTCTGACACGTGATGCTCAAACATTTTAAACATCCCAAGTGTGTTTATAATGGAAAGGTCATTGCGGTAGGGGGTGGTGGACCCCACCACCAGGGTGCAGTGGCGCCCCCAAGGAGTGGCCTGGGGTGTCCAGGACCACCCCGAGAAAACTGCTGGTCACACCAGAGAGGACCAATGTTTTTTAGTGAATCATATTATTGTTCACACAAACTATAAATTCATATTATTTAATCTGACATAAATGTTAAACTCGGCGATGGAAAGGCAACCTGTCCACGGTGTGCCCCGCCTGTTTTCCCGAAGACTGCTGACCCCTGCGACCCTGTGGGGATAAGCGGGTATGGATGGATGGATTTAAAACCCAATAAAAATACAATTGAAGAGTAAATAATCAGACTAAATTTCTGCTCACCATCTTCAAAACTAAAGTTTAAATCTCTTTGTTTTTCTGGATGTTTGTGAAAACAGCAAAAGGTGAAATAAAGTGTTCTAAAATGCTACAATTTATTTTAAAATGACATTCCAAATAACTGTTTGAAATGTGTTTTTCAGAAAATTTTTGTTCTTCAAATTTGAGGTAAGGATGTTGAATGCATGTTTTTATTTTTATAAAAATTATAAAGGAGCATGCGACGTATTCCACCGGCTAAACTCTCACAGAGCCACGAGGACAACATCTATCTGGCCACCCCTATGAAAACTATCTGGGAGCTCCACTGCCAGGGTGTCTCTGTCCACCCTCTCAGGGACAAAACCTGCAACCAGTGAGCTGCTGGACTGAACCAGTCTGTGATGTCAGAGGGCTGCTCCACCTCAGAGTGTGTATAAAAACACAAATAAGTATAAATACACAAATAATAACCTACATGATACTAAACACCCCAAAGCACACACACACACACACACATTCCAGATGTTTGTGGTTTAGGTCAGCTGAGGTTCTGGAGCTCTAAATCCTGACCTCTGACGTGAACCAGGTGAGGCCTGCAGGACTTCAGATGCTGATCCAGTTTTCTATAGAACTGGGAGGCTGTGCTGCTTTTAGACTTTTTGGTTTTGACTCAACTCCTCCTTTGATCAGCTGCTTGAAGACTCACTGGATCAAGTCCAAATGGAAACCTCGTCGTTCCTCCTGACGACGAGTCACGGCTTAAATAACAAAATAAAAATCAGCTCCTCGGTCTGCTGAAACAGGAAGTTGTCCTTCTCTGGCTGTACACCATCATTTATCTGATGATTAAACAGCAGAAGTTTGTTTTGGGTTTTCAGTGAAACTCAGCTTGTGTTTTATGGGTTTATGGTCGGTGACGGTTAATGTTTGATCAGAGTCCAAAGTCTGGTCAGAGGCTTGTTTCTCTCTCAGCTGAAATCCTCAAACCTCAACTGATGTTAAAAGGTTCATTTTATTTGAGCTCTGAGCCGGACTTTGATGCAAGATCAGTCTTTTGGTGTCAGTTCTGGTCCGACAGATCACATCTCTAGATGCTTGTTAAGATAAGATTTTTATTGTTATTAAATCGTAGATTATCATTAATAACTGATCCCATAACGATACCAGCTGAACATCACAGGTTTGGTGACAGAAATAATTTTATGCTTGGATCAGTTTTCCACCCTGATCCAGTCAGACATCATCAGAGCTGAGAAACCAGCGCCGCCTGCAGCACCACACCTGGACACCTGCTGCTTTGGCTCTGGTTTGCATTTGTACCTAATTGGGCTGTGATTAACGAGGATGAGGTTGAAAACAACCTGAAGAATTCAAGAGCTGAAGTAATTACAGATTCAGATTCTCAGAATTCTAAAGAAAGAAGCTGAGAAGCTGCGAGAGACGAAGAAAAGACGAGTTCAGTTGTCGAGGAGGAGTTCTGAGGATCACAACAAACGTAGAATCAGACTTTATGCTAAAGTGATGCAGCTGGAACACACACACACACACACACACACACACACACACACACACACACACACACACAGAAACCACCATTCTGACCCCTGAGCGTTTGTCGTTCCATTAAATAAACCATCATTTACCAAAAATCACAAAGACACAACATTTAGATGCAAAAATTTCAGTAAAACTGTCTGAAATCATCCCATTAACTTAACCAACCAGAGAGAAACAACCTGTATGTGACCCAAATGACCTGAGTGATTAAACAGAAAACCACTTTTGAACCAACAACAATGAACATATCAGGTTTTCTCAGCAGAGTTTCAGGAAGACTTTGGGCCACATCAGTGCTCTCCAGCAGCAGAAACCTTCACAATATTATTATAATAAGAGTTTATTTTACCGACTGCCTCTCTGCTGTTTGACGTGATCTTCAGTTTGATTACAAACAATTTAGTGCAGCTGCTGACAACCAGAGCTGTCCCTCACTTCTATAGACTCTATGAAACAAGGATCCTGCATTAAGGTTCCTACTTCACACAAGCTCTGTTTACACTCCTCATGCATGTGTGGAGTTAGCGTGTTCTCCTCATGCATGTGTGGAGTTTGCGTGTTCTCCTCATGCATGTGTGGAGTTTGCGTGTTCTCCTCATGCATGTGTGGAGTTACCCCAAAATTCCACTATCTCCGCTCCGCCCCCGCTTTCCGATGCCACTCGCTTCCAAACTCAAATTATACTGTACCCGCTCTACAACGGCTCCACTCCGGTGCGGAGACCTGAGGTGCGCAAACAGGCGTGCGTGGATTTTCGAGATCTTGCGATACAGTCCGAGCAATAAAAGCGGAAGTTAGATCCAAACACCCGTTGTGTGGGAGAAGCATCAAAATGAACTGTTTAATCTGCCCATCATTTGTGTTGAGAGATCAGCAGTGTTTGGATCAACAAAGGGTGACTACTTTGATAGTGGAAACTGTATTTATGGCTTATTTCTGTGCATTTAAAGTTCAACCGCCATTGATAGTTGTTAAAAGTTGTTAAACCTGTGCATATGAAACAAAAAAAAAAAACGCTTTTTGTTTATCGATTTATTGTGAAATAACAGTTGTGCTTGCTCCCTTTCTTGTTGGGCGGTTGTGATTTCTGTCCATTGACTGCGGAAGTGCTCCGGTGTCCGGCAAAAATAGAATCGATCCTATTTTTGCCGGATGGCGGAACGGGCCGCAGTAGTGGAACAGCTATGATTGACTACAACGGGACCGTTTTTGCTGCGGAATTCGTGCCGGAGTGGAGCAGAGATAGTGGAATTTTGGGGTTAGCGTGTTCTCCTCATGCATGTGTGGAGTGAGCGTGTTCTCCTCATGCATGTGTGGAATTAGCATTGTCAAGTTTCTCACTCCATTCAGCTTCTGTCCAAACTTGTGTAACGTGATGAAGGAGCCATTCCTCAAGGTTATTATCCTCTAACCACAGTTCCCTTTGACACAGCGCCAGAGTGCATGAAACAGCCTCAAGGTCATGCATTCGCTTCTAAACTGTTTACTTTCCAGCAATGAAGACAGAAGATGAAGAGACTCTTTCCTTTTCTTTTATTAAAAGCCAAAGAACTCTATTTTCAATAAAGCCAATCAAAACAACTGTCAATAATACAATGTGAAATCACAATATTATGATTAATATGTTTTAATAAGTAAATGACTTATTCTAGTCACTGGACACGCTGATACATTAAGGTAAATAATCACATGACACATTGCTGTTGCTGATCCAATCAGAACCTTCAAGTCTGAAGCGTGGCAGAGTCTCTGTGATGTTTATTTAATCTGTCAGCTTTGATTCGTCCAGAATCAAAAACATCCAGATTAATAAAACAGTTCCAACACCATCTTAAGTTCAGTATTCAAGATCTCTCAAGATGCTCTGAAGTTCACCGCATGTTAAGTGAAGTATGGACAGGCCATCTATACTTTTCTTTTTAAGATGAGAACTATTCAAGCAGGGAAAATTCCTGTGTTACCAAACAAGCAACGGGCCCTTCAGAATAAAAGCTGAACTCGCTGACCCAGGGAGGGTCCTCTTTTTGACGCTGTGAAACACCTGTCGCTTTTTACCTGGAGACAATCCAAGGACTAGTCTGTCGTGCTGTGACGCTGTACTATTGGCTCCAGTACCGGAAGGAATGTCCGAGGACCTGGGCATTCTGGATCCATCGTAGAGGTCTCATTGAGGGTATGTGGATGCGACAGAATGGCATCTCATGTATTTATGACCACTGGTCTCAAACTTTGATCAGTTAGGAGCAAAACATCATCACCCACTCAAACTTTGCTTCTCCGGATGCGAAGGTTCTGAATTTAACATCATTCACACA